GATGAGTTCTTTGGGTATATGCAAATGAGTGGTATAACAGGATCATATGGTAGATTCATTTTTAGTTTTTTGAGTTCTCCACACTGTTTTCTATAGTGGTTGTGTAAGCTTGAAATCCCAGTAGCAGTGAATGAGCATTCCCTTTTCTCCATATCCTTGACAGTGTTTGTTGTGTTTCGTTTTCTTGATCTTAGCCAGTCTGACTGGGTAAGATGAAATCTTTTTTTTTTTTTTTTGCATTTCCCTAATTACTAAGAATGTTGAACACTTTTAAAGGTATTTCTTTATCATTTTTATTTGTTCATTTGTGAATTCTCTGTCCAGGTCCTTAGCCCATCTTTTATTGGATTATTTCCTTATTTCTTTGTTTTTTGTATATTTTGGATATTAATCCTCTGTTCAGTGGGATGTATAAAAGATGAAGATTTTCTCCAAGTCAGTGGGTTTCCTCTTTACTTCTTTGGTTGGTTGTTTTGCTGTACAGAAGGGTTTTAGTTAAATGAGGTCCCACTTGTGGATCGTTGACCTTAATGCCTGAACTGTTGATGTCCAATTGAGAAAATCATTTCCTACACAACCTATATCTTGGAGGGTACAGTAGTACCTATGTTTTCTTTTAACAGTTTCAGAGTTTCAGGTTTCATATTGAGGCCTATGATCCATTGGGACTTGACTTTTGTGCAGGGTGAAAGATAAGCGTCAGATTTTATTCTTCCACAAATTGAAAGCAAATTATTGGAGTATATAAAATTTTTGATCCTGCTAGAATCTTTATTATTTATTTATTTATTTATTTATTTACTTTTTAGCCTTAGCAATCTAACATGTTGAATTCATGTTATATTCATTTATTTTTTAAATGATATATTTGAATTCCTTTTATGTAGGAAGCATGTGTTTTGGGTCTTTAGAGTACATGAGTAAAAAGAACACACATTCTTTTGTTTGTGTAGATTATATTTGTTGATTGATAAATAAAAATTAATCCCCAGCATCATTAAAATGAAAAAAACAGAAAGTATCATTGTGCAGCTGTTACATTTTTTTTATGTATATGTAAGTTTTAAATAACTGTATTAGAGGGATTGGAGAGATGGTTCAGTGGTTAAGAGCACTGGCTGCTCTTACAGAGGACTGGGGTTCAATTCCCAGCACCTACATATCCGTTAACAACCATCTGTAGCTCCAGTTCCAGGGGATCTGACACTCTCTTCTGATCTTCTTGGGCACTGCATGACATGGGTTCACTTACCTGCATTCAGGCAATACACTCATACACATAAAGTTATAATAATAAATAAGATTAAAAATAGCTATTAGAGATCTTTTTTCTGGGGCAGTTTTAGCACATGTGATTTCTTTTGTTATGTTTCTATGTTGTCTATTTCTGATAGCTGCAGTTAATGTTCTGTGAAAGCAATGGTTATGTATCATCATAGTTTTACTAGTAATATTGAAAATTTTTTTTAAAACATTAAAAAATTTATTTACTTTTGCTTTTCCTGGTCTTAAGTATATTCTAGTAGCATTTGACTTAACATTTATTAGCTCTTGCCTTTTAAGTAATTGGTTATTGTATAAAGTTTGTTAATTTGTTCCAGGATAGCCAGTAAATTAAGGTTTTTATTCCATAATGTTATGAGTGACCCAGTTTTCTAAAAATGTCAATTTGTAAAAATAAATAGTTTCTACATTTTTAGTAGTAGAGAAAAGATGTTTTCATTATACCTCACCAAACAAATGTTTTGAGGATCAGGTAGAAGCCAAATTTTAATTGATTTGAATTATAACACAGAAAAAAATGTTTACTGGGGACTGCTGACTGTTAACATTAACAGATGTGTATATGCATATGTATGTTTGAGTGTATGAATATGTATGACTTCAACTTTCAAAATCTTAGGTAAATCATTTTACAGCTTCTGAGCTACAGAATGTTTAATCAAGGTAATCGTTCTTTTCATTCTGCCTGCAATGCTGGAAATATATTGTAAAGGATGAATGTTTATTAGGGAGTTCTTGTTGAGGTGTAAGGTATAGAATTAGTGATAGTTGAGAGTGATGTTCATGAACTTTGGGAGGCTGAGAAAAGATTTTTTTTTTTTGTCTTGGTGATGGCCTAGTAATGAATTATGGGGCAGAGAATGATGCCCACATTAGCTTGTAGAGTTTTAGTTTGGATAGATAATGGTGAACATCACTGAAGATAGAGTATTATGGAAAACAGATTTGAGAAGACCCTGAGTTCATACTTGGACATGTGAATTTTGAGCCTCAGGCACTTAGAAGACATGATCTGAGGTAATAATAATGTCTATAACCAGGCAGTAAAAAAAAAAAAAAAATTAGATCACTTAAAAGTGGAAAGAAAGAGCTGGACATAGATGAAAGTTTAATAAGGAGAATCACCCAATGGTGGAGTTTGTGGAGGGAGCCAGTGAAAGAAAATTTTGTCATGTAACCCTAGGGAAAAAGTGAAAGGACAAATAAGAGTAGTCTACATTGAAAGGATTCAAAACTATCCTTTGAACTTGGTGGTGTTGAAAGCTTTCATAGATTACTTCAGTGGAAACTTTTCAAGAAGGCATAGGAATCTCAGTCATGTGAAATGAATGGGAGGGGAAGAAGTGGAGATAGTGAGCATGCAGCACTTCTGAGAAATTCCATGGGCAGCATCAGAGACATTATTATAGAGGTTATATGGAGCTGAATCAAGGTTTCTTTTCCCTGTGGTATCAATGAGTTGTCATAGATATACATGCTTAGTGATAATTTTCTGATCTCTCTTATAATATAGCATATGCTATTTTTAAGTATTTTGAATCCTGTAACATACATTATGGGACTCATATTTCACAGTATTTTGCCTTCAACTTCACAGGAAATCAGCTTAATCCTTTGCACACTGACTCTGTTTCTTTTAATTAACTCTGTTTTCTACACTCAGAATACATAAATTCAACTACTTTGATACCATGTTTTCTAAGCCAAAAGTATAATCAGAACCAAAAAGGAATTACAGAAGTATCCTTTTATAAATGATCCTGGTTCTCTTACAGCATAATAGTCATAAACAGTCTCAAACTCAATTGGGTAGTGAAAAAAGACAACTTCAATGAAGTTCTAGACGTCAGATAGTTTACTTAGATGTTATTCTTCCAAGAATAAGTAATACTTTCTACTTAACATATTCCATGGAAGATATTAATCTATGATCTTTTCTAAATTAACTAAAATTAGATTTCAGTTTAAATGTATAAACAATTTAAACAGTTGAAGCTAATTTTTTGTTTTGTAATTTAAAAAAAATTTAAGATGATTGTAAATACTTTAGACACAATATGAAAATAAAGAGCTTTCTGTCCTAATTATATTGCATTCGTACATATATACATGATATAGGCATTCTGCAGTATTCTTTTCATACATCTGTTTAAAAATAGGTTTCAAAATAGTGTGTGGATATGCCTTTAGAATAATACTTATGTACTATTTTAAAAACTACTTTTTGTCTTTTAGCAGTGTAATTATTCTCTTTAATAGTATTAACTCACTTGACATTACATCTTTCTACTTCATTTGATTTAAGCCCATCAGTTTTATCAGTTTATGTTTTCTAATCTTCCCTCTCCCAAAAGACTCCACAAGAGTTTAGCTGACTGAAATCAGAATGGGCATAAATCTGATGGTTTACTTAAAATACTGATGTAATAAGTTTACTTGAACTTATGTAAGTTTGGGGCATTATGATTTTTCCAAGATATTTAGATTATGACGATATGAGGGAGAAAAGCGCTGAACATATTTTCAGAAGAAGATGCCAAAACTTGGGTCTGTGCTGGAGATGGAAGATTGTACATAACCTAGAGGAGTGTGTAGGATACCAATTATATAAAGTAGACATATGGATCCCATGACTTTTCAGATTTAAAACTTGAAATCAGAGCCTGGTGTGTTAGTTCAAATCAGGATAGTAGCTAATATGAGAAATTTCTGAGCAAACTGGCATGAAACCTAGTTCCTATTTTAGACTAGGTACAAAAAAAATAGGTGAAAAGTGTAACTGTATTCATGAAACTGGAAACTGTAACTCAATTTTTTAATCAGATAGCAGGTTATCATTATAGCATACTTAAGTAATCTTTGGCTTTTATACAATAGATGTTTGCCTTTGTTATGATACTAAACAACCCTTAGGGGAAGAATGAGAGGCCTAAGTTGCTCCTCTAGCAAGGGATAGCTGTATATGTTCTGCTGTTTATAGGAAGGGTAAGATCCTTCTTTGACTAAGTGCTTGTAGTTAAAGCAAGTCAGCAAGACAAATCTAGAACTGAAAAATAAGGAACTCTTTTCAGAAGGTTCATCTTAATCAATTTCAATCTACATGATCCTTCATATTTAAATTTATATTAAAGTAGAATGTTTCAAATTAGGTGATCAAGAGATACAGCCTCCCCTGAAATCTATGGGTCAGGATATGTAGGAAGCTAATGTATATTTATCATTTCCTGTAATGTGGAGTCTGCTTTTTACTCTTGGCCCAGCTTAGTCTGACCTTAAGTAGGTACATACAGTCAAGATGTGATTGGCTTAAGGTTCACTTTCAGCTTCTCAACTCATCCCCTACCAACACCACCAGTAGACAAATTGTTGTACATTCATCTCAAGGGATTTAAATGTTGCTTTTTATATCTTAATATGTTGAGTGGAAACAAAAATCTAATACATTTGTTAATATATAACCAGGATAAGAAAATTTTGGAACATAAACGACAGGATGAAAAAACTTTCTCTGCAGATGGAATAACATGATTCATCAAAATATAGGATGGAATCATGAAAAGAAAGTTAAGAATATCACTGAGCTTTAAGCACTACTTTTGTTTAATGTTCCCTGTAATTTTCACTTTGTCTGGGCTTGTACTTTTATATAAAATATTTTCATAGTAATAGCAGTTCAGGACACAGATTATGAATCGTTTGTTCTTTTCTTTCCTCAGGCACAATAACCTTGGTGCCCGACCGAAAGGGCTATCCACTTTGGTCAAGAGTGGTGTTCCAGAAGCATTGAGGGCAGAAGTATGGCAACTATTAGCAGGCTGCCATGACAACCAGGAAATGCTGGATAGGTACCGAATTCTTATCACAAAGGTGGGAAATTCTTCTCATAACATTTTCATGAGGAAACATCAAATCTTGTTTTTTATACCTCTAGTAGCTCATCACACCTTGAACTTCTTTAGGAATATATTGGTACTGTGCTGTCAGGTTGTCTTATGTTCTAAAGATTTGCTGCGTAGTGGTAAATAATACCTGTAATCATGTTGAAAACTTTATACTTCAGTTTAATTTTAAAAATTCCAATGGCTTTGCAAGTTATATATACTAAACCCTACAGGTGACACTCTGCTTCTAGGGCTTTGCATTAATGGAGTCAACAAACAATGTATTGAAAATATTTTTTTAAAATTGCAGTTTTAAAAAAAGTGTTTAAAAAAATTGCAGTTTTACCAAACATGTACATATTTTTTTCTTGGCCTATTTTCTACGCCATATATTAACTATTTATATTGTATATTACATGTTCTAATATTACTTAAACATTATAGTAATATAAAAATTGCTTTAATGCATATGGAGGGATGTTTACATACTTCAGCATTTTATATAAGAGACTTGCATTCGTAGATTTTCATATCTACAGGGTTGTGGAACCAATCCACCACTAATACAAGGGAAAACTGTATTATAAATATTTGTGGTATTGTAATGAGATTGTTTTATTGTGAAAAATTTATGATTAGAATTTTATATTCCAGTATAAGTTTTTAATGAAGAAAAAGGCCTTCTGTCTTCATGTTGCCTTTTATGGTAATAGTGTATTTATCTAGATCTTTATTCTGCTACAAGACTTTGGTTCCAATATAGTAAATTCCTTTGCTTATTTCCAGATAACTGGTTTTCCACCAAAGGTAAAGCCTTCTCCTCTTAGTTTTATCTTTTCATTCCTTTTTGGGTTTTGATTTGTTTTTTGAGACAGGGTCTCCCTTTAGCCCTAGTTGGCCTGGAACTTGATATGTAGACCAGACTGGCCTCTGTCTCACAGAGAGCGGTTTGCCTCTGCCTCCCGATTGCTCAGATAAAAAGCACGAGCCACCACACTCAACTCACATCAGAGGTTTGAACATACCCACTTAAAACTCTCTTAGGTAACTCCTTCTTTTCTTTTCCCCTTTGCCTCCTTCTTTTCCACATATATCTTCCAGGTGTTTCGTGTATTCCATGACTACTAAATTCAGGTTTAAAAACTAACAAACAAGTTTTACCTTTTATTTTTTCCTAAGATTAGTGATCTCCACAGTAACGTATTTCATGGGATCTACTGCTCATATGGAGAAATGTCTAATGTTCTGTTTCTTTCTGTTAGATTATTCATGTTTGCTGTGGCATGGGACTGAGGTCTCAGTAGGCTTTCTGCTTTAATGGCCATATATTCCATTGTGGTTTGGGAGTAACCTGAATTTGTGAAGCTTGTTTACCTCAGATGTTATTTATTTTTAACTTAACCTTCATAAAATAGATTAGTGACTTTAAAAGATAGTTGTTATGAAGACATTTTTGTGAAATAAGCAGACAATGTATTGCCTCAAGAAGCATTGATGTGGTAATTATTGATGAAGCAACCCTACTTGATAATAAACCCCTAAGGAAGTATGTTTTGAATTACTACATTTCTAAACATTACTATATGATTTGATCACTGAAAAAATGTGTATGTGTGTATTATTGTAAAAATTCTTGAGACAGGGAGAAGGCTCATTAGAATGCAATGATCAGATCTGTTTTGATCCCCAGCACTAATGTAAAAGATGGTCATGGCTGTATGCTCCTGTGATCCCAGCACTGGGAAGCTGAGACAGGAGAGTCTTGAGAACTTGCCAGGACAGCAAGTCTAACCAAATTGGCAAGCTCCAGGCTTAGTGAGAGATCCTGTCTCACAAAATATGGCTGAGAGTGATAGAAGAAGATAGCTGACATCAGCCTCTGGCTTCCACCCATCACTCATGGGCATGTATGCTTTCACTTTGTGCTGGATAGCTTTTGTGTCAACTTGACACACCTGGGTTGAGGGAGCCTCAATTGAGGAATTTCCTTCATAGGACTGGCCTATGGCCATGTCTGTGGGGCACCTTCTCAATTGTTGTGTGATGTGGGAGGGCCCAGCCCACTGTGGGTGGTTCCACCCCTGGGCAGGTGGACCTGTGTTGCATAAGAAAGCAGGCTGAGCAGGGACCAGGGGAGCAAGCCAGTAAGCAGCATTTCTCCATGGCCTGTGCTCTGGCTCCTGCCTCCAGGTTCCTGCCCTGAGTTCCTACCTTGGGCTCCCTGATGAACTGTGACCTGGGATATGTAAGCAGAATAAACCCTTTCCTCTTAAAGTTGGTAGTGGTCAGAGTATTTTGTTACAGCAATGAAGAGACAAACTAGAACACACTTCCACATATACACACATATGAAGATGTACACATGGATATACCCTCAACACAAATGCAGACACAAATCTTATATCTTCACACTTAGTAGCCTGAAATAAAAAATTACAAGTATGTTAAAAACCTGTATAGAAAGTTACAAAGGTTTGGGGATAAATTGGTAAAAGTATCAAGATGCATCAATTTCTGATTGCATTCATTAGAATACCTAGAAAGGCTGGAAATACAGATGAATGATAAAACACATGATTGGGTTCAGTTACCAATAGAAAAGAGGAAGGAACAAAGGGAAGGAGGGACAGAGAGAAGGAGGGAAGGGAGGAAAGGAAAGGAAGGAAAGGGAGGGAAGGAGGGCAGAGGGAAGGAAGGAAGGAAGGAAGGAAGGAAGGAAGGAGCGAAGGGAGGGAGGGACAAAGGGAAGGAGGGAGGGAAGGAAAGAAAAGGAAGGAAGGAAGTGAGGGAAGGAGGAAGGAAGAAAGGAGGGAAAGAAGTATGGATGGATAGAAGGAAGGAAGCCAGCCAGCTAGCCTAGGAAAACAGGTATTATCCTAGCCTATATTTAGCAAGTACTTGATGGTAGGGGTTGAAAAGAATGGTGCACTTCTACTTGGTTCTGTAGGTCTTTAAGTCTTTCAGATTTAATAAAAATTAGAACCATGAATTAATAAAACTTATTTAGAAACAAAATTTCAAAGTGCCATTTGATAATCTGCTAAACAGGATATTAAAAACAGTGACCCACATTGCAATGATTCTCCACATAGAATTACTTAGAAAAACAGAATGGGGTAATTTATATAGATAGAATATAGACTAATGGTTGTAAAGAAATGGAGGGAGGTGCGGGGGTCCTCCCCTGCACAAGGTGCGATGGGGGCTGAGGAGGGGGAGTGCGCTGCTGTCCCAACCCTCTGTTCCCGAGAGACCACCAAGGAGGCAGGGAGTCTGTCTAGCAGGATCTCGTTTATTAAACTCTAAGCAAGTGTTTATATATACATTTATGAGCATTGAGTGTCCCTCCCCTCTTTTCCCCAGAATATGATTGGTTATGATCATAGAACCCAATTAGCATCGTAGGTTTTAGTTTCCCAGAGCTGCCAGGTTGTCTGGCAGACCCAAGAGTGGAAATCCCCTTTCTAACAGAGTGTCCAATCATTTTAAAGGTCAACTTGAGCATGCAGTTTCTTCATTGTAAAGCATAGTGTCCACAAGGTGATCACGCTGGCTAGAGCCAGTCAGTGACTCTTCCAACAAGTCTGGTCATGTCCCAGCCATTTTTCCTTAGGCATCAAACAAGTCTGGTCATGTCCCAGCCTCAGGTCTCAGGTCCTTACAGGGAGGGAAGAAGGAAACTAACAGATACTCCTAACAGGTATGCTGTTTATTTAGGGGATATTGGAAATTCTCTTGCCACCTTCCTGGCTATTATGAAGCTATTCTAAAGAGACACCTGTGCTGTCCCTTTGCCTGTAAAACTTTTGAGACAGTTTAAGTCCCCCAGAAGGAAGACTTGTTTTCCAGGAAGAGATTTCATACAGCTCTAACAACTTGTCAGACCTCCTTGCAGGAGAGAAGAGCTGAGACACTGGTGGACCACACTCTGACAGGCTTCTTAGATACGTATAACTCTGGATTCTTTATATGAACCTAAACTCCATGTCAGTACCCTGCATATGGACAGGAGGAAGTTGGTTGCAGTGTGGTCATACTGTGTGGTCACCACCAGCGGCGGATGCTTCTACGTTCTTACGGGTGCCACTCCTCCATTATCACGGGCGTCAAGGCTGCTCCTCCACTTGCCCTGGGCTGAGGTCGTTCTTCTGCCTGCCCTGGGCTGAGGCCACTCTTCTGTTCACCTGGTGCTGTCTTCTGTTGTCACTGCTTCTGCCCGGTCCCGGACCACAGGTCTGGTGAGGACACTGTGTCAGCGGAGCCTCTTTCAGACACAGGTGACCAAGTTCAGTGACACAGGTCTGCTTTATTGCAGGAAGGCACAAGCTAATATAGGGGTAGTGGTCCAATCACAGCACAGCAAGTAGGATACCTTATTAGCATAATAGGTTTAGTGTCCTATCACAGTACAGCAAGTAGGATACCTTATTAGCATAACAGACTTAGCATCCTATTAGCATAACAGACTTAACATCCTATCACAGAATAGTGGGTAGGATGCCTCATTACCATAATGGGTTTCAGATTACAGAGTCTGGATTCCTGGATACTCCATGACCCTAAGTGTTGCAATTTGGAATTCCAAGGGTGGTGATTAGGGAGTGGCAAGCTCTAGGCATCAGACTCATGATCTGCGAATGGGAGCAAATGTCACAAGGCATTTCTTGTGGCTCCAGTGGTCGGGCCATTGCCTCGGGCCTGCTGTATGGCTGTCAATAAGACTTTCACCCTAAGCTCAAGCCTGTCTCCCACAACATTGAATCTATCTCCTTTATTTACTTTTCATTACTACTTGTCTTTAATTGAGGTTGGTGGTTGAGCCTACGTTGTTAGGGCTGCCAGAGCCCAAGCTTTGACCCTAGCAACTCCAGAAATATTCTGGAATTAGAGAGTACTGATGTTTAGCCAACATCAAGAATATAATAAAAGTCACAATTGTGTACCTTTAAATTACAACTTTTATGTTATGTGACATCTCAGTAGGAA